GGGGTGGGGTGTGTGCGGGAGAACAACATGTCTGCAGCTTCAGGGAACAGAAGAAGAAATATATTCAATTTAGGAAGACATCTAATCTCTGGTTATACAGGACAGCTTTGTTAGATAAGATTAAAAATTTCATGAATGTTCCTTTTTGTCCCTGGAGACTCTGCCATTTGTACCAGCTATTGTCAGCATCAAAAGAGCTTGATAACAGCTGGCTAGAGACGTGACCACACAGCAACACAACAGCAAGAAAGGGGCAGACGGGTTCATAAATCTTCAGAAAACCCGTTTCCCCAGTGCAGCTGTGAATCTGCTGCTATCACAGTTGAAGGGAGAATGCATTGTCCTCCAGCCAGTCAAAAACCTGAACTTCAGCATTAGCAGAGGCTCTATTGAAAGTGCAGGGTGCGCAATGAGATGTTTTCCATTATCTTCTTCATTGCAGCCCTTATTACTGCACACAGATACAGTTTAAAGGATCTTTGAGTTTAGCTTGTTGCTAGGTAGAGTTTTTCCAAAATCATGCAGCCCTTACCCTTGGCAGTATCATCCTGCTTTTTCTTTTCATCGCATCAATATAGTGCCACATGGGACAGAGTGAGATGGTGCCCATGTGGTACACAATGGACCAATCTCTGATATCTTCTGGCTGGCAAGGAGCTATCAAAGCCAGAATCTGGCCCTGGGGCGCTGAGCTTCCTCATTCTCCAGGGACTGCTCACAGACTCATGTAAGCAGGGCAAGTTAGGAAGCACAAATTGGCTCAGACTCTCGAAATACTAGTTTCCTGGTTTTCGTGGGAAGGTCCAAATTCATATGTATTTAGCTTTATTCTGATCTTACTTAATTCAGTGTCAGTATTTTCTCAGCTTTAGAGTAAACCAGATTGGCCCCTCAGGAATTTCATAGTTTCTGTAAAACAAATAGGTAATGAAGTAACATCAGTTAATTTTCATAGAATAGAATTTTAGGAGATGGAATAAGAGAATTACTATGGGCCAAACCAAAAGTACAAATCTATGTACTGTGCCTAAGAAAGGACAAAAATAAAGCAGAATCTTTTAGTACCTTAGCCTATTAGGGGAAATTTTTACCTAGGCATTGTGAACATTGCAGTGTTCAGCCAACTGTAATGTCACTTCAAAGTGTATCTAGTATTGCCCAGAATCCTAGAACAAGCTTTATTAAAGAGGAATTAAATGCAATTTTTTTAGAGAAAACAGGAAAAATACTTAATGCTTCTAACCCCCCTGCAAGAAAAACAGTTTCTGAAAGTGCTCCTGTTGTGAAAACTATGATTTATAACTTAAAAACTATATTATTGCTTATATATTTTTTTTTTCTTGGCAGCTCCATCCCCAATTGCTTTGATCCAGGCTAAAGAGATAACAAGGCACAGCGTTGCCTTGGCTTGGCTGGAACCCGACAGGCCAAATGGAGTTATTCTGGAGTATGAAGTCAAATACTATGAAAAGGTACCCTTCAAAAATAGACAAGCAAGGAGTTTTGTTTGAGTTTGGGGAGAGCTTTTTACTTCATTCCATTGCGGTTTATTTCCAGATAGGATTCCATAATTTTAAACCAAATAGATTCAGTTTAATAAAATCCAATTAAGGATTTCATGCACTTCAATGGTTGCTTAAAAGAATAAGGCTCATAGGCTGTTCCAGCTGTATGGTGTGATTTTATTTTGTTATTTTTTCCTACCTAGGAACCGAGCTTTTGCAGCAAGCATATTCATAATAAGAATCAATAATGTTGGACAGAAGTGAGACATTAGCTTTACTTCATAGGCAGAAGTATAATAGTGAAGTATATAACGCAGTAATAATAATAATAATATCTGTTTGCCGATAGCTACTGCTTAGAGGGATAGTATGGGCTGGATGGCTTTTAACAGAGAATAAGGAAAGAGAATTACATTCTTCATACTTTCCAAGTTAGAGGGAGATGTTATTCCTACATATAACTCCTCAAGTACAGACTATGAAAAGAGCTATTTTCTTTGAAGTTTCTCTGCAAAATGAGCTATTACCTGCTCTTGCTTGTGTGTGCTCTCTCTCACATGCACATGCATACTTCTATTTTTTTTTAATAAAGATAATAACTTATTTGCTTCCCTAACACATACAGAAAAAGGCATATGATTTGCAGGGAAGCTAGATTATTATATTTTCTGATGGATTTTCCAGCCAAAAATAGAACACTTTTTGGAAGACATTTTCTAAGTTTTTTAAATTATTTTTTAAAATTTATTTTTTTTAATACGGCTCCTGTCTGGTAGGAAGAGAAAGAAAATGCTAGTATTTATGAGTAAAATGTTGCTTGTTCATCAAGAATATCCTATTTGAAGGCTTGACTATTTTCCAAAGGATTTTGTTGTGTGTTTTCTGAATATACGAGCATTGTATCTACTACATCATCACTCTTTTTTGGCTTCTTCAGAGCTCTGTACAGCACACAGTGCTAGGGGTATAGAGCAAGGTGGACAGCAGAAGTCCTTGGGACCTATTTGGAGAATTCCATTGTTGTAACTCATCTTCTTTCATCATGACACTTTTGGCCAGGAAGTGGGGTTCCACCATTCATGGTGCATTGAGACATTTTTACTTGATCACCACTGTGTTTTTTTGTTGTTAGGACCAAAATGAGCGCAGCTATCGCATTGTGAAGACAGCCTCCAGGAATACTGATATCAAAGGCTTGAATCCCCTGACTTCATATGTTTTTCACGTGAGGGCCAGGACAGCAGCAGGCTATGGAGACTTCAGTGGACCATTTGAGTTCACAACTAACACAGGTAATGATGTGCCTACTGATTTCTTTTTCTTTTCCTTGAGCAAAGAGTGCAAATATAACTAAGCTGTGTGTTGGGAGTTTCCTGTTGGTTGCTTGGACTGTGGTGTGTCTGTTCTGGACCTGAGATATCTGTTTGGATATGCTGTATTCTAGATTCTAACAATGAAAATAGTTTAGTGTAACATAAGGAGACATGCAAGCTATAAACACTTGGAACCCATTGATGCTTGAGAGATTTATGTACCTATTTTGTTTACTGTAAATATAGATGTTTGCACATTTTTTTGGAATATCTCATTTACGGGAGAATAGAACTCTGTTACTCCCCTTTGCAAACTATTTACATAGATCAGTTGAGTGTCCTACATCAGCTCACATATTTGCACTTTTCCTTAGACAGTCATATAAAGACAGAATGTTTGTATTATGTTGTCAGTAGAGCTTGTCACTTTGCTCAAGGACATATGCAAATTTATCCCCCAAAATGTTTGCATTTGGGTGGCAGGAAGGCAATCTGACCAAGCCTATTTTAATTTGGACATAGAGGTCTGTTTAAATCAATTTAAGGTCATGCCAGGTAGTGGCAACATCCTTCAGGATGTTAAAAGGTGAAAATAATCCAGCCGGAAGAGGGAAGACATTTTAAAAGAACTTATTCTCTTTGTGTCAGTTGGGGAGTGATCATCTGGCCCCACTGAAAGAAAAAGGAAGAGGAAAGAAGAGTGGAAAGCAATTAGAAAGGCCAAAAAAAAAAAAAAAAGACCATTATACTCTCTGAGCAACACTAAAGGGGAGGAGAGGGAGTCCTTGTTCCCAGTGAACTGAAGCTCCCCAAATCATTATCAAACATCATGTCTTCAGCTAATTAGGGCCCTGTTGGAAAGTTGTGTCAAATAACTATATAATAAAGGCCTGAAAGTAGATTTGAGTGCTACTCTAAACTGACTTCACAAGCCAGAAAGCCTCACTGAGTGCTACCTATGTTGATTTTTTGAGGATGCCTGACACTAATGCTCCCTTTTCTGTTTCCAGTTCCTTCCCCCATCATTGGCGATGGTACCAATCCCACAGTGCTTCTTGTTTCAGTGGCTGGCAGTGTTGTTCTTGTGGTCATTCTCATTGCAGCCTTTGTCATCAGCAGGAGGTAAGAGCTTAAGCTTCTCTCTCCCTCTCTCTCTTTCATGAGGGAGCTTTTTGTCTCCTCCAAACAAAGCTAAATTCTTTGATTAGCATCATAAACAGTACATTTGCATTACAAGCCTTCTCCCATGTAGCTTTGATCTTCTCAACATTAGTACCAAGCAGCATGTGATGTAATGGCAATAGTTCCAGCTCCATTTGCCCTTCAAATGCAAAGCTGATTCCAATAACTGGCATTGAGAAGCAAGCCAGCTAGAGATTTGTGGTTAGTGTAATTTGGAGTTAAGTTTAATGGGTATGGGTACAGTAGATTTTCTTGGACTGACTCCTGATAGACGAGGAATAAACAACTGCACTGTTGTGAACTATGCCATCGGACTGCTGTGCTTGTGGTTTTTGTGTCAGGCTATATGAGTCTGCATTAGTCTTTTGGGTTAGTCCTTCCGGTGTGGGTGGATATGACTGCAAAACAGAAGCTACAGTCATTCAGCATCATGTGCAGTAACACAGCAGACTGGATCAATGGTTATTTCATCAGAGCAGGACCATGATCTTCTACCAAGTTCTTGTTCATTCTCCCAAATTCAACCCAGGAGTCAGGAACAATACTGTGAATGGGAGGACAGTGTAGCGGAAACAGTGTGAGTGTTTGTGTCTTCACCTTTGTGTTCAGCCTTATTTAAAAAGATAAGCATGATTTTGCTTCACTGCAATTCTGAGATAAAACTGGGTTTATCATTACTGCATCTGAAGCCTAGGATCTGAGGGGTGCACGTTTTGTCAGTCTCTGTTGATCAGTTTAATGGCATCAGGCATAAATGTGCACAAATTCCTCTTGATTTGTTCTCTTACTTTAAGCTGTTTTAAAGAGCAGTTAAATCACTATGATTGTAATATCTGGAAAGTAGACATGCATTGTTACAGCTTTCTGTGGGTGTTCAACTCACAGCCTCCATGCTGGCAAGAAGAAAGAAGAGCAGAACATATGAAAATGTAATGCAGAAAGACAGGTTTATTAAAAGCCATTGCAACAGAAAATAGCATCAGTGAGCTTGATGACTTAATCTCCTCTCTGCTTTTATTGATCACTTTATTATTTAAGGCAGGATTGATAGCAGGATACATTGGATTTCTAATTATGAGTCGCCACCTTGGAGAATTGAGCCTGTCGAGCTGCTTTGAGATGATTCCTTCCCCTCCTCCCCCTATAAAAAAAAATGTCACTTCCCAAGGCTGATAAACACTGCTTGGTGATTGGCCTTCAATGGATCACTTTTTAGAAAATGAAATGTCAACCCCTTGCCCTCATATTGATTCTCTTTAGTATCGGCCATAAAGCTGTCAGAGGAAAGGCTGCCTGGAGCCAGGTAGCTGACAGACTCGCTGATGTGGTGCACGCTCAGGCAGGTCTTCTCACCGCTGGGGCTGTCTGTTCAGTTACCTCTGCCCACAAGTGTTCAACTTGGACAAAGACAAGACAAAGAGCAGGTGGACAGTAGGAACAAAAGGCTGGCCCAGGCACTAGTGGGAATGGAGGTTAAAGTGTCCTGATGACCATGGGTTCAGAGATGTCCTGTAGCTCTGCACTGGTAGGTCTCAGAGAGGCCGTGGAAGTGGGAAGACATAGCTAGATGCATGAAATACTAAGACCGTGAAACTGCTCTTGTGCATACTAATGCATGCTGCCTTGCTAATTAATAGCTTCCTCAATATATAGCTCTTCAGTAGCTCTCAATAAACAGAATCTACTTTAATATTCACTATTACTCTAACGATTTTAACCACTTTACCAATGTCATTTAGAGGTGTGGGCTTTGGGGATATTTCATGATGTTCCTACACCAGCAGAAGTTAATGGCAAAATAATTACACTTTGTTTCAAAATTACTTTAGATGAGAAAAAGCTTTTCTGTCCATACAGTCCCCATGAGGTGGTTTTGTAATCTAGTCATGACCTAAAAGCCATATTTGTACAATCAAAACCGTGCTTGGGCCCACAGACATGGCCTCTCTGCTTCCATGAGCCAAATGTGGGAACTGGGGATATGCTGTAGGTGCGCACTTTGGAACCCTGGGTTATTACTACTAATTTAGCAGTACATTGTTTCAAGTCATTGCTCAAATCCCAAAATTCATCTTTACAACAGAATTTTTCAAAGGACTTTGCCTTCAGGCAGCTCAAGCTGTTTGGTTCTGTCCTGTGACAGCATTTATGTTAACATGAGAACTAATCTTCGTAAATGTTAGTTTAAACTTACTGAGGTTAAGATGAGCATATCCGTAGAGCAGAGTGCAGGAGGTAGTGTGAGTATTTCCGGACCCTGCCCTGCAGGAACACTGAGTGAAATTAGAATATCTCTAATAGAGTTGTAAAGGATTTGGGAAAGTATAAAACAGAAAGAGCCACTTTCTAAAAGGGTGGAGTAAGATGGCCCTACAGAATCCTCTGGTCATCTAGAAGTTTCTATCAGAAATTCTTCTGATTGATGGATTGATTTATCTTCTGCTACATAAACAGCATTTGCCCACCTTTTGCTGGTGGTGCTGGATCAGCATGCTCTGCCAGTCTCGTGCCCCACCAGCCTGGTTCCCCCACAGCAACACCCCCAGACCCTCTTTTGTTTGGGGAGGAGGAGGTGTTAGCAGTGGTGGGGTGCCGGGTCCGTGCTGTGTCACCTCAGTGCGTGCTAACACCCCCCGTTGTTACCTCCTCTTCATCACCAGCCCCCACCTGTAGATCTGCCTGTGTCTCTGACCCCCGCAGTTTCTGAAAGCTTCTGTGTTCTTTTCCTGAATGCCAGCTATTTAATCACCACCGCCAGAATCCCTGTAATTACGGGGTTCAAATCTGTGACAAAGGCTTCCTTCTGCCGCTCAGGTGAGCTGCCCTGAGAGGCAGCGCCAGCCCTGCGTGTCCCGTGGTGCGGGGCTCCCAGCCCGCTGGCAGGGACAATGGCAGGCAGCAGTGTCCTGCCCCCAGCCAAGCAGGAGAGGTCAACAGGTGACACTGGGAGAAGTGGAAGTAGGTAGTTAGTTTGGAAGGTATTATTTAAAGTTAATAAGCTACAATTATATTGCTTGAACACTAATCCTTTTGTTTCCCTTTGCTTTTTGCATGTCTTTGGGTTTTAGTGTGGGAAGGTTGTTTTTTCTTCTGTTCTTAGGGTGCTCGTACTTTAAAAATAAGATAAAGAGCATTTTTTCATACTTAAAATGCTTTCATGCAAAGCCTGTTTGTGTTTCATATTTCCCATCTGTGCCTGAACATTAATAAAATGAATTTGAAGGGGTCCTGCTTAAAGTGCAGATTTTTATTTTTCTTTCCTCTAAGAGAAGTTGTGTAATACATGAAACTATCTCTGCAATCCCCTTAGCTGACTTGGTCCCAAATGGCACTGGGTGAGATTTGTGCTGCCTCTTCTTTCTGCCTCGGTTAAGAGGGAGTAGAACATGGTCCTTTTATTTAACTCAGCTGTGTTATACCAGTGCTGTAAGTCCTCAGGCAAATAAATGGTTTAAATTGATGTTTGGATCCAGTGTGGTTTTTAATAATGCTCTTCTTGTGATTTGGAGCCATTTGTGTTTAACTGACTTTCATCAAGAAAAGAAGCTCCCAACCATTTATGGTTGGATGTGTACCTGCTTTTTATGTCTGAACACAAGTGCTGTTGATGATGTTGGGAGTTGTGAGGTTTGGTTCAAAGATCAGGTAGTTTTCACATGTCAAACAGGACTTTTTTTTTCCCTTCTGTTTCATGGTTAATTTATAGTTTTTATTATTGGCACAGTGTGTTTAACACCCAGCACTAAAAGAGTGCAAAGACAAAGGCTGGGAAATGGCCTTTTAGCTGACAGGATGGGAAGCTGCCCTTCCCTGCAGGCCAGGCACAGAGCAGGAGGTGAGATGCTTTTTGCTAATGGGCAGAAGGGTTTTGCTGACGGGAGGGGAATGGTGAGACTCGGGAAGATTTGCTGCAAGCCAGGCTCTCAGTCATCTGTTTTCTTCCTGTCATCTGCGAGTTTTTGACCCCTTTTAACTCACATCTCCCGATATGTCTCTCTGTCACCCGGTCCCATTTTCTTCCTCTACCCATTCACCATTTTCAGACTTAACCCAGTCTCACCCTAGTGTCCCTGGCAGGCCTAGTGGTCTCCTGCCCCACTCCAGGCAGCGGGTTAGACATCGCAGGTAGTGCCGATCTTACCTCTTGTTCTCCAGGTTTGGTTTCTCCTTCTGTCTTCCCTTTTCCTCACACCAGCCCAGACTCTTTCCAGTTACCCAGCCTGGGTCTAACATGCTGGGAGATTTGGACTTTAATAGGAACAGGCAAACTGAGGAGTAAGCAACAACAAGCCCTTCTCTTTGGCAATATCTGTTCTTAACACTTCATTCTGAATTTTCAGTGAATGATGGCCCAAATCCAGCCTCTGCATCTACGTACCATCAGATGCTGGGGAACTTCACATCCCAGTACACATTTGGTTGTGCTGACTCCTTGGTATCTTCCCTAACAGACTAACCTCTTGTATTAACTTTTCTTAATGCTACTTATCCATTGAAGTTTAAAGCTGAACTAATTAAATACATAATTGGTACAGTATTGTCTGTAGGTATGGAAATAGTAATCTATAGAATTAACATACTGCACTACATTTTTGTCTCTAATTCAGAGGGTTAGTAGAAGAGCTCTGCCATCAGGAGTTCTTTGCCCCTTTCAATTATACAGTGATTAAAAGAATAAACAAAATCCTTGGGATCTGCATTTTCGGTGATTAGGGTTTTTTTTACTGCCATCCTGATATCTATGTTACTGGACTGTTTCCAGTTTTAAATTTGCAGTTAAATAAATGTGTTGGTATTGGCATTTGCCTAATTATGTTTGAAAATCAATCTACCAAAACACCTCTGTTGTAGTATTTAAATCCATATATAATAGGGCTAAAAAGCAATTTGGCCCTTTCTTGCACAGAATTGCACATATACGTTTGAAGACAAAGTATCTGAAATGCAAGCTTTTTCTTTCTTTAAATGCCAAGCTGGAAACATGGGGATTTGTGTTTCCCTTGGTGCTTTGTTGATGCCAATAACACTTAGAGCAGTTTGAGGAGAGGAGTCTCCTACCCCGCTGGTAAGTGTATGTTGTGTCATGGGCTGTTGTGGGGGAGCTGCTGAGCACAGGTCCTGACAGGTGCAAACAGCTCAAGTCTCAGCAGGTCAGGAAGACTGAGCTTGTCTCAAAGCAAGATACTTATTTTGAACTGTAATGCTCTTTTTTGTTCTGACAGGCGCAGTAAGTACAGTAAGGCTAAGCAAGAGGCAGATGAGGAGAAGCATTTGAACCAAGGTAAAAGGCAGTGGTGCTTGGGTTTTTTGATTTGGTTCGTAAAACCTGTCCCATATTCTGATGCTTGGGAAATAAGGGATGACATTCCTTTTTGAGATGAATGTTTCCATTTTCCTCTTGCAAACATCCTCCTTCAAAATATGCACTTTAGTAACAGGGAAAGTAGAAGTATATGGGTAAAAATTTTTTAGGAGACAGACAGGAGAAAGGTTCATCAAATTTTTCTGTTGTTCCATTCCACTGAAAAACATCTCTTCT